GGAGATTCGCTGCTACCACAAATTCAACAAACTGCTCACCCGATACGCAAGATTACTCAGGACTTCATGATAGAGCTGTCTTTCCAGAACTTGGCCAGTGTTGCCCGCAGGCTTATCTGGAGCTCTGTAAACACACTACCCTGTTCTCCTTCCGGACCAAGTGAGTTGTCATCATACCCAAAAGCATCTGTGTCTCTGCGGAGCCACGCTAAAATCCAGCTTCAGCACCAAGTGTTCAATGGCTGTTAAAAGTCACCAAATCGGCAAAGAAAACAGCTGCGATCTCCTATAATCAATGATCTGTTTGTTGTCCGATTTTCGTGGCACCGCAACATTTTATTATAGAATAAATCGGGTTCTAGACTTCATAAAACAGCATCTCCATTACCCAAGTTCACACGCTTTCTTAGTGTATTAAGCAGCGATAATTCAAAAAGAACAGATGATTTCGGACACACTGCATCTATAATGAGAGGGAAAGTGTTGGAGCAGAACAGAAACAGAAGCAAATTTTTTTAAAAATGTTATGGATGAGGAACTCAGCAAGAATTGCTTTCGGATTCACTGGGTGGGAAACACAGGGGCTTCAAGTTGAAGCTGTTGAGAATGCCAATTTAGACTGACTCTTTGGCTGCCCTGTGGGGCTTCTTGGACTTGGGGCGACGGCAGCCGGTTGACGTACTGGGTGCAGACCAGTTCTTAGATTGGTTGAAAGAGTTACGGCCAGGTAACCGTGGGCCCACGAACTTTTCTCAATCTTCCTGTGATCATTGATCTTTAACAGGCGAATTTGAAGACTTCGACACTGGATATAACTGTTGTTGTATTTCGGCTTTGGTTTTGCAGGTATCTAGGGTTGCAATTCCAAATATTAATATTGCAAAGTGTTTTGGGAAGCACTCGGCAAACGTTATCTTTTCGCTGGGGCTTTTGAGGCACAGTGGTAGCGTCCCTCCTACAAGACAGAACGCCTGAAGTAAAGTTGCAACTGCTGCAGCAGGGTGTCATAACATGCCTAAACAGTTTAGTTTCTTTAAAAAAGGCCAAGTGAGTTAAATGGTCTATTTATGTGCAAAAATTTCCACAACTTAAGTCAGTTACATTTAAAAATTAAGCATTTTTTTTTTTTAAAATTGAGCTGCAAAACTAGAGGGCATAGTTTTAAGGTGAGAGAGGGGAAAGATTTAAAAGAGACCCCAGGGGCAACTTTTTCACACAGAGGGTGGTGTGTGTATGAAATAAGCTGCTAGAGGAAGTGGTAGAGGCAAGTGCAATTCCAACATTTCAAAGACATTTGGACAGGTACATGGATAGAAAAGGTTGAGAGTGCTATGAGCTAAACACAGGCAAAAGGGGCTAGTTCAGTTTAGGAAACCTCAGTGGACATGAACAAGTTAAGTTGAAGGGTCTGTCTCCATGCTGAATGACTATGAGCAAACTGTACAATTTGCTGTTGTCAATCACAAAGTTGCCAAGTATTGCCTAATTAGCACACCACAGCAACAATATGTTCTGTCCAACACTGGTCTACTTAATACCTCTGAAATGATGTCAAGACAAAGTTGATCATTCAAGAATAGAGAAACAATAACATCTATTTATATCAAAGGACCATTGCAGTATTTGATAGTTACA